GCCGGGGGAGCGAGCTTGATTTTCAAGTAATTTTTGCAGCATGACGCGAGCAACATTTTTGCCCTGCACGAGAGAGTATTAGCTCACTTTTTGTCTCCTATTTGCCCATTACGAAAAAGCATTCGAGCGCAAGTATGTCCACGGTAAGACTGCAGGTGATATTAGTTTGAAAAAAGTTGATAGCCAATTTTATTTTAATCTAACAGTAAATGCGCGTCAAAATTTCCAGCTAGAGACTGCCCACAGAAGGATGCCTTTTGGCGTAATTTTCACAATATCGCCGATGCCGTTAGAGTGCTTATACGCTCACATTCAGTAGCGGAAGCAAGAAAGGAAGTGCTGAGTGTGTCGGGAAGAGAAAGGAAACGAAGGTTGCTTGATGTGTCTGCTCTTGACCATATAAGCAGTCAGATTCTCTATCAGATGAGCGGCGTGCAGGATACCAGTACGGGCACACGCGCGAGTGAAATCTGTTGGGCAGGGCATGTTGCTTGCTTTGCTGACTGCCGCTGCGAATTACTTATTATAACTCCTGTTCGAAAAGGAATGAGCAATCACATTGATGGTTGTCGGAGATAATGGCAGACAAATGCATTGGACTGGTTGTGGGTACCAAGCGCAAAATAGAAGAGAGCGGCGCAACAGAGCTGGGCTACCGCAGCAGTCTCGATATTCTTGATACAGTTCTTTCATTGGCGAGTTCGAGCTAACACCACTGATCGGGTGCTACTTATGACCTCATTACGGTGTCCAGAATTGTTTGAAGGTGTTGAGACCTCGATGATCATTGATCATGACCTTCGAAAGTTCTAGGGAGATCTCTATTATAGATTGTTCTGCAGAATTTCCTGTAATGTATTTATGATTCCATATAGATCGGCCTGCGTCGTCTAGTGTTTTTTATTGTGCTCTACTTCCTGTATAAATACCCCTGCTTTTGTTGGTTTGTTGTTCGTTGGCTAATATTGTGTATTGTGGATAAATCGACTCTTTCTTCTGGGTCACTTCGTCTACCCTGCGTCGTCGTCAGCTCAACTCTCGGACCCAACAGAAAGTATTTACTTAATCCTCTTCTAAACTGATTTATTAGTTTTCCGAACTTAATAGTGCTTCTTTTAGGTGATCAGGTGATGCCTGTGGCTTTTATGGTTTATTCGGCAAACTCTGACCGTAAAAGTGTCCATAATAGTTTTCTCTCAACATTTAACGACAGGTTTGGCGAACATCTCAGTGGACGTATTGTGATTGTCACTGGCCGAAATGTCTGTTTCTCAGCGGAATTTTTTCCAGTGAGTATAGTCGTCCTGTTGCCTCTTTTGCAAAAACACCAGATGCGTCAGCCGTTTTCTTTTATGCGTCCCCAAATGGAAACGCCTTATTCGCTGTGAGTCTGTGTGAACCAGATTTAGGGCATTGTTAGATTTTTTAGGGACCGATGGGTCATTATTTTTATAAACATCTTACATCCACCCAAATTACCCTCGGTAACCTTTGTGGCATAGGCAGTTTTTGGATAGAATTTGCTTCATATGTTATAATTGTAATTTCGCGCTGAATCATCGTAAGGCAAGTTTCGGATAGCTAGGGCCAGCTTGAATATTTGCTTTTCGAATTAATCGAACCTGCGGCTTCATTCCCTTCACAGGGCGCAGGCTCATTGTGTATTTTTGCCGGTTTTCGAGATTTTTGGATGTTTTTCGGTGCTGCAGGCTGGCTACTTCTGGATTCGGAACTGCTTCCATTTCTGAACAATATTCGCTTATTTGTAAATGAGAGCTGTTTAGGTACTTTTAAGTGACATTGTGTATCACCCTTTTATCTGTCGGACCTGTCTTGAAAGAAGGCGCAGATTTCTCCGCAGCGGGATTACAAACAGAGAAAAAATTCCCAGTGGTAAGCGTAGAAATTTTTTAAATGAAGCGAGATCTTGTGCTGGCGCGAGTGATAGTTTTGTTTCAAGATTGCGGTGCAGGTGCAGTGTTGGGATGACTTCAGAAATGTCAAACTGAAGTATGTCGAAGCGCATTATGGAAGTGCCTATCTCAAGGACTATTCCAACGACATGAACATCTTGATGAGTTGCACATACGAGAAGCTTTTTGACGATGTAAGCTGTTTTTTGGAAGTGTTTCGTCTGTTTGAGAATTTTAAAGACCAGATTATCAGCGGGCATATTTTACGAAAAGCTGTTTGCTTTGAAAAATACTGCGTCTTCTGGCATCCTTTCATGAAGCAGAAGCTTCGATTTTTTTTTTCGCTCTCTGAATAGCATGCAGTATCATTGAACTGCAGATGTGGGCCAAGATAAGCGCCTGTAAACGGTATACTGAACGCCCCGAAGTGTATGGCTTTTTTGATAACGTTTGGAAACATTTCAAGTCTTCAAATTCAATTTGGAATTTGAGGAATTGCGGTGTGATGGATCCTGACAAAGGTATTTATTGGAAAGCGTGTAAAGGTTTGAGCAAGGTAAATGTTGCGAATCAGTTATTCCGTTAAGTGTTTTGTTTTCGATTCTGCATAGTTTCCTATTAAATCCGAAGCGTGCGAGAAAAAATCATCAGGACTCGTTTCACTTCACTGTATGTAATTTTTTAAAGCTACTGTAGTTAATAGTGGTTTTGATAGAAATCAAAGCCGCCGAAGCTGCTAGTTTGTTTTTTTGATTTGAACATATTACTGAGTTCGTAAACACCGGACGCAACAATCTCTTTTGTCTTGAGCTGTATGCCTGTAGGTGCTGACCATCAGCTTTCGATGTGTCTGCGCCATCTCGTCGGAGGTCTCCGAGTAGTTTTTTACTTTCTTGCTGGCAGTACTCCTAGGTTTCTTTCTTTTGGCCAAGTACCAAATGAACCGAATGGCTTAATTTTCGCACCTTTCTGATCCGTGAGTGCGATGTTAAGACTGTTATTGCACGGAGCGTTTCCACTTTTTTATATGGGAACCTGCGTATCTTACCTCACTAATGGGTGGAGGGGGGATTTACTGCTCGAAGCACGTATTACAGGTGCTAAAATTGAATATGTGGATCTCTCTGCATGTGTTCTCTATTTCTTTCCGCTCTATTCTGTTGTTTGTTTTCATTCTTCAGCTTCGACACTGTGAGGTCATTTAACAACAGCTCTCCTCTGCATTTCTTCAGGCTCTACTTTTTCGTGAACCAGCACTGCTTTCTGCATACTACTGTAGTTCTGGAGACTCTCGATTCCGACCTTGTGATTGAGCGCACTGATGAGGCGCATGTGTAAATCCTGATCATTATTCGCCGTCCTAGTTCAGCCAATATTCCTGATCTGGCTCTTCATCTGCTTTGCATCAATTTCTTGGGGCCTGTTACGCTGACTTGCTGCGTGCAGTATCTTTCATTCGGAACCAGGATATGTGGCGTGCAGTACTCACTTTTCTTGTTGATGGGGATGCTCACATAACCCGGGAATCGGCATCGCACATGTGTATGCAGTTACTAGGAGTGAAATCTTTATGAGTAATCATGCCCTTAGAAAAAGGCGGTAGAATGTGTATAGCGATACAAGGCGTCACACGGACTTGTTCTTCTAATCCCTTAGGCTGTGAGTGTACCACTCTGGCGCACAATCAGTGACGCCGAAACACATGCACTGGCACTTGCACATCGTACTTCACTCATTTCCCTCATTTTTTCCTTAATTTTTCATTGTGCAAATAAGCTCATTCGGTCCACATTTTAGACTGTATGCCAGATGCGTGAAAATGCTGCAGATCTTGATGTCATTGTTATTTCCTTGTTTTTATTATCAAATGCTTATCGGAGACACTTTATCGCCGGCTTGCATCAGTCAGGCGCTTGGCGACTGAAGAAATGCTACAGGGATCGCTTCCAGCAAAGTCATTTGACGGTGAGGTATTGTCTTTTGTAATTCGAACTCTGAGAATGAAGAATCCCCTATTACATTCCTGTAAAAGAAAAATAGTTTTTTGCCGCCGGACTTCACATATCTCATTATCTCGCAGCATATTAAGTTTTACATTGGATTACTGCAGATTGACTGACATTTGGTTGCGGCATTTCAAGCAGTCCAATAAATGTCGTTATGGTCTTTCATTGTAGATCTTGTAAAAAAGCCATTATGAAAGGTTATGGAGAATTGCCTGCCTCTAGCGTGCAAACGATATGGCGATTTAGCAGAGGATAACGCAGGCTGAAACCCACCAGGCTTGCTCGTGCGTTTTTGCAGTAAACTCGCAGATCGCTAATAGCAGGAATGATCCCTGCGTTGTAGCCTAACACTTTGGCTCATATTGGTCGTGCTTTGGCCTGTTCCAATGTGCAGGAAAAGGGGCGTCAGTTAAGATGAGAGTGTTGCGTTTATAGGGCCGCTTGGATCTCCAGGTACATGATTACCAGCTTTTTGCATGAAGCTTGGTTGTTTTTTCGGTGAATGCTCGC